TAAGTTCTTAACGTGAAAATTTATAAAAAAAAGTTGGTATAATTTTATTTGACCAGTACTAATTGTTTGGCCATAAATGACGTAATTCGTGATCTTAGTGATTTTTTATCCATTAAAACGGGGTCGTCTAAAGCCAGGGACGATGATTTTCTGCAAAATGCAGAATACCGCAGAATTTGCAAAATTCTCCCGTTTTTGCAGAAATTGGATTTTATCGCGGATAATTGCAGAATTGACCTAAAATTTGACCAGGATCCAATCAAATTGCGAGGTTTGGCGGAGAGTTTCGGAAGGATAGACAACAAAATACGAGCGTGGTCGTCGGAAAGCTTCGGAACATTAGTATTAAACCAAGTTTTGAGTGTAGAAACAGGGTTTTTATTGCAGAACTTTGCTAAAATTTTATTTTGCAGATAATCGCAGAAATTAAATTTAATCACCGCAGAATTTGAGTTTACTGTAATCACCGCAGAAAATCATCGTCCCTGTCTAAAGCGGGCAGAATCACGTGATATCTGACCAATCAAATTATCGAATTTTGATGATCTTCGGCTAAACAAACATGAAAGAGAAGAGAAACCCTTAAAAAATTTTAAAATATAGTATAAACTATAAGTAAATATACAATATATACAATATATATATATGTGAGAATTATAGATCGTAGATCATATATAAATATTGAACTTTAAAAATTTAAATTGCCTTTTACTTTATTATTTATAACGTTAATTAGTATATATATTCATGTTGAGTCCATTTGACTACAGTACGGTTTACTAAATATAAAGTAAATTATATATAATATATATTATATAAAGTTCTAAATTGTCTTGAGTAATACAATTTACTTAGTCTATAATAATATATAGAAAAAATTTACGCGTAAATTTTTTTTATATAAAAAATCGTTTTTTTTTAAAAAAATAAATTGCTTGGGCCACTGAATATCTTGTTACTAATATTTCAGAAAAAAAAATCGCATATATTATGAATTCGAAAAAAGCTAGTCTTTACAAAGGTTAGGTTATTATTTGCCATTATCGAAATACAATTCATAGCATTTATGTTGTTCACGAAATATCAATTTATCTAATAATAAATTGTATTCATATTTGCAGATTTTAAAGGAAACTTTTTTCAAACCAATTTTTCACTGGTAGAAGAAATTAATCGTGTGAAAAATGATATTGATAGGTATAAGTCTGTTGGCACTGCGATCGGGCTAAACATTCGAAAAAATGACTCAAGATCAAAATTTTACTTACATCAAGGTATATTCAATTCAATAGTAACATGTGAAATTTTCATAGTTAATAAAAGTTCTAAATGGTTTTTTTTATTAGTTAATGCTAAGGAACTTGGCCATAATTTACATTTGAAATATAAGCGTTTAGTTAAAGAAGAACAAGTATACAAAACAAATGAAGAAATTTTAAAAGCTGTTGAAAATCATAAAAAAACAATGCAACTATATAAAATTGGTTTATAATTTACTAGTATTTTGATGAATCTATTATATAAACTTAGAAATGTGAACAACTAGTTTTGTTATAAATTCTTAGCTCTTTGTTATATCTGTCTTATATTTACTAAATAAAGAAAAGATTGATTCATCTTGAAAAATTGGTTAATAATTATAATTTACTAGAATTTTGATGAATCTATTACATAAACTTAGAAACGTAAACTACTAGTTTTGTTATAAATCTTGCTAGTTATAGATCTCTACAAACTACTATTCGTTATGTTTGAATGTTCTGACAACAGCCTTGAAGAATTTGTAAATTTGGGGGAATTTATAAAAATTAATATCTTAACTACGCCTTCACTCCAAAGCGAGATAATTGACTTACATTAGATTAACATTGGCTGCAAAAAAAAAGATGGTAATTCAATGTGAAAAAATATTAATATTAAGAGACATTTATTCAATGAGTTAACCAATATAAAAATATTAAGAAATTCACAGGATTTTTCTAAAAATAGCTTGATTCAATGAAATTATATATAATTTTGCATCAAATTGCTTTTAATTTTGCCTGAAATTATGCTTAATTTGCTAGCCTAGAATTAATTTTGATTCGGGAATTTTGACCTAAATTAATTTATCACATCGCATTGCATAATCGTGGACATCCTAAATTTTACCTATGATAAAACATGTGACTATTTAATTTTGTGTCGAAATGATTAAGTTATCTTACCTGGAACAATATTTAAGTTTACAATTACTTCTAAACTAACTAATCTATTTTAAAGTTTATACGGCTAAATGGCTGAAGTGTGTTTACTAAAAGCAGAAATGGTTCACAATTTCCTTAACTAATTAACGAATTTTTTTCCTTGTGAAAAAAATTAGAAATTCTAAACTATATTTAGCCTGTTAATTTAAATTTTCTCAAGTTTTGGGTATGAAGATAGAAAACTTGAAACTTGCCAACAATTCTAATAATCATTCGGCCGAATTCAATAAGGTTTTGAATTTGGAATTATTAGGCTGAAATTAATTTATATTTTATTAATTGAATTAGCGTCTCGTCGTTATTTGCGGTATTAATATTTCAAAAATTTTCAATTAGTCGAAGAAATGGAAAATAATAAATGGAAATTGAATCACGATATTCAGAAAATATCAGATATGTATTATTTTTCAAATAAGTTGATCCCATGACCTTCTGATTGGTCAATCACGATCAAGTTTGATCAACAACCAATCAGATGTTTATTTATTGTTTACCTGTTTGTTATTGTCGATCATCCGATCTGATTATTTTCTTTCTCTTTGACCCTTTGATGATGGTACATTTCGAAACCCAGCGACGAGGATAACTCAAGCATCCCTATTGCATAAGGTCCCCTTGGAGGGCAGAAAAGTTTAAACCTTGATGGAGCACTACCTCAGAGTGGACGGGCTAAGATATAGCCTAGAACGGGAAAAAGAAAATAGAAAAAAATTCGACGGTTTAGCTTTTTACACCAATATTGACCTTGATAAGTTTTCGGCTTACTTTTTTCTTGTGTTATTTTCTATTCTTTCAATATTAATTTTCTTTTTGTTTTTCGAACAAGACCGGCTCTGCACCACCCAAACAAAAAGACTTGAAAAATTTTCTTAAACCAGGTCAATGTTTTCTTATCTATTTATCTGTCTATTTATAAATATATTTTTAAAAAATTCGCACGTTTAACTGGTTCTTTTCTAAAAAGAGTCGAAAAGAAGTCAAGAAACGAAAATCGAAAACTCGAAAAGAAATCAGAAATGAAAAGTTTGAAAAAGAAAGAGTTGAAAAGATGTCAAAAAAGAAAAATCGAAAAGAAAAGGTCAAAAGAAAAGTCGAAAAGAAAAGGTGAAAAGAAAAGTCGAAAAAAAGGTGAAAGGAAAAGTCGAAAAAAAGAAAGAAAAAATCGTATATGATATACTCTTGGGTTCTTTTTCTAAAAAAAAAAAGTCGAAATGAAATCAAAAATGAAAAATTCGAAAAGAAAAAAGAAAAGTCGAAAAAGAAAGAAGATTCATAAAGAAGCCAAAAAAGAAAAGACGAAAAGAAAAAGTGAAAAAGAAATGTCGATCAAAAGAAAGAAGAAAATCGTATATGATATTAAATTGGCCATAATAGATTACCCTTCCTTTATTACTTTTCTTTCTTTCATGCCGGGCTACGCTGATGGTGGGCGTCTTGCACGTAAGCTCATGACTGCTATCACAGAGGCGTTGGTTGTGACACATCAACGTAGGTTAACATGGATACGTGGCAAATGTCTAGACTCGCTTTGCTGAATCTGGTTCATTTCCTAAGAGCTGTGTGATAGCGTTATGAGATTTAGAGCTGTTCTATCGAAGGGTCTGGGTTAACGTTTATATTGTAGTTTTCAATTTATTTTTTCTACTAACCTAATTCTTCTTAAGCAATCAAGAAGAACCAAGATCAAGAAATTTCTAATGACGATCATAAGAAGAATTCAAGATATCCTTAATTTTTTTTTCATTGTAATTCCTTAAAAATCCTAATGCCAAGGTAACCCACATGATTTCTCGGCTAAAACGATGATCCGTATAGACAGGAGCTTGCGGGTAGTTGGTGGTATCGGGTGACGTCGCTTGCTAGAACGTGAACAGGGTACCCTTCGTTGCTGCTGCACGCTATCTCTTGAGGTTGCTTGATTCGGGGAACCGGGTCCTCGATGATTAACGATACCATTTTCTTTTCTCGATTGTCCGAAGAACCTTTAACTCGTAAAAGTTAGGTTCAAGGGCTTTTCTTCTTTTGGTGTTGTTCCTTGCCAATTTTTGAGATAGAACAGAGCATCTAACAAATTGATGAATACCTTCTCATTCATCGATTTCAAGAAATGGGATGGCAAGTTTTGTAAAGTTTTCGATCGGATCGTTCTCGGGGTTCCGGCTTTGCCGGGTAAATTCTTGGTAAGGTCAAAAAAACTTTACACTCATGACCAAGGGCGAGTTATGAGACAAGGTCGTGCATATGGGTTCTGGCATTGCCGGGTGAATTTCTATATACGATCAAGAATCACTGCATGGCATATTCTAGTCCCATCGGGTTTGATTGTGGCAGGCGAATTCCTATAAGCCATCATTTGATTGCGAAATAATCCTGCCTTGGCTGTGGTACGACCTCAAGTAAACCGGGTTTTTTAAGCATGATTGTACCCAAGATAACCCCTTATTTTTACAAACTGCAAATTTAAAGGGTTATAAAACAAAACGGTCGATTTATTATGAGATTTCTATATATAGCCTTAGTAAGTGAAATCTCCTTTCGAGTGGGTCCGGCACTCCACGAGATCGATTTTTTTTTCTCGATTTACGGATACCCGAAAATAATCGGGTACAGAAAAATCGACTTTTGCAACACAATAAATGAATAACCCCTTTTTTGTCACAAAAAATTTCTCTCGCACAACTTTTTACATTCCTTCCACGGGCCCAACTGATGGCTCAAAAGTTGACCACTGGAAAAGTTAATAAATATAAGTTAATATTGAAATTTAGAGTCTTGTCAACATACTTTTAATCTTATCTTCAAGAAAATTTATTAGATTATTTTTTTATTAAAATTTATATATTAATAAATATTAATAGTTATTAGATTATTTTTATTATTTTTTTTATTAAAATTATACATTAATAAATATTAATAGATATTTAGCCGATTGGTTATAAAAAGGTTGAATCGGCTTGTAAAATTCGAGTTTACAACAATGAAGTCACATGATGATTGACAGAAATTGGCCAATAGTAAATCACAATTTAGTAACTTTGAAAAAATCAAAAATAACTGTTAATTAAAAAGTTTAATTTTCGCCCAAATTTATGCTTAAACTTATAAAATTAACTCTAATTTGGCCACATTAATACGGTACAAGTTTATACTACCGCTATGATCTGATTTTTGAGTTCGAATTCTGTAAAATCTCTTGAATTAAGATCTTCTTTATGTTGTTCTTCGAGTTCTCTAATTCTATTTTCAGCAAATTCTTTTTTACATAACGCATAATTAACCTAGCGCTAGGTCATAATTCATATCACATATTTTTATGATCTATGATCATTATAAATGTCATAAAGGTCATATGCCAATACTGATGTCGGGAGCATGGATTATATGCTAGTATTTATTTAATATATTAAACAATAAACATATTTTTCTGCCAATGTTACAGTTTTAAGAGTGACTGAATATTAAGAAAAAGATATAACTAAACAATTTTTTCATTAATTTTATTCAACAAATCAATTGCATCCTTATTATCACTTAATGCCACAGATCTCAAATATTTCAACCCAGATTGCTTATCTTTCTTAACACCACACTCACCATTCAAATAAATTTTTCTCAAATAATAACTAGCCTTAGCATGCTCGTTGTCGGCTGCCATACTTAAGTAATGCAAAAATTCAGTATGCTCATGACTTTCTTTTTTATATAATGAACAAGCGTACCGATATTGTGCATCAGAAATTCCATCATCAGCAGCTTCTTTGTAAAGATTATTTGCTCGAGCTATATCTTTTGGAGCAGAGTAACCCTGTTCATAATAATATCCTAGCCAAAATTTTGCTAGTGGATCACCGATTTCTGCATTTTCAGCAAAATAATTAAAAGCATTTTTATGATCATTTTTTTTGTGAAGCTTAAGTCCTTCATCAAGTGACATTATTGGCTTTATTTTTATTGATTTGCCAATATCAATTAAAGGCTCATCAGAATCTAGAGGCATTCTTGATCTTTTCTTTTTGTTTTCTTTAGTTCCATCCAAATCCAAAGTGTTATTGGCCAACAATCCAGGATCACCAGATGTGATGGAATATTTTTTTGATAGATCATCCAGTTTTATGAATAAATTACTAAAAACTATTCGATTATATGGGTTAGGTTGCCATGCTAAATTAATATTAATAGAAATAAGTTGCCTTATTGTTATATAAAAACAATTACGTATAAATACCACGTTTTATGCTGAAATTTGAACCACTTTAATATAAAAATTTTAAATTTTTTTGGAGTGTTGTTTTTTTGTAGAACTAGGTTTAAGGTAGAGTTGTTAAGAGTTTATAAGTTTTAAATAGAGATCCAAATTTTAGAATCCATCAATTTCAGCATTAGCCACGACAATAACCGTAATAGCAAATTTAATTTTATCTCTTTTTTAGGCTCAGAATTTATTGATACCGATACTGAAATGTATGAGTCATGATTAGAAGTTCTGGCGAAATTATTAGCCTTAGATTTTTATTTGATCAACAAATTCAGAGCATAAAAAAAAGTGGAATCAAATCATTATTACGTTTATGACTAAATTATTGTAAGTTAAAAAAAAAAACTTTACCATCAACAATAATATTAATAAACTCTAATAAAATTTCTTTATCAGAAAAATTTCCACATCTAAGAGCTTCTCGGTCACCTTTTAATATATGATCTGATATTTCTATGAAATCCTTACTTTCGTAGGGTATCTTCTCATAGCAAAGTTCCCAAATCAGCATTCCAAAACTATAATTGCATACAAAAAATAAAAGACTTAATTTTTAAGTTTATCTTGATCAATATTGTTATATATACCTGAAAATTTTGGAATGAATACTATAACTTGGACTTTTATCACCTTTTTTATATTTTTTGACTTGTTCGGGCACCATCCAACGAATCACAGTATGCAATTGTTCTGAAAGGTCCATAGTAATATTTTCGGTCATCATATATGCGAATCTAAAGTTTGTAATTTTTGGTTCCAAGTTTTTATTTATCTACGAACGTTGAAAATGACATTTAAGGTATTATTGTTGGTATGACTTTATTTGTAATTTCACCTTTACTTACTAAAATGTTATCACATTTAATATCATGATGAACGATATTGAATTGATATAAACACGTGAGGCTACGACAAATATCAAGTACAATTTGTACTTTTCTGCGCCACGTGATGTCATATTTTTCATATAACTCCTTCAAAGATCCATATTCAGTTCACTCTAAAACCATAACATCATAATTATCAATTTTAGAAAGACTATAAAAAATTAAGATGTTCGGAAATTTGTTTAATTTCTTAAGAACCGTCAATTCATTTTGAAATCGCTCAACGCTTTCAATTGGTTTACAAGCAACTTCACATGCTTCCTTGAAGTATTTTTTGATAATTTTGCCACGATGCTCATAATGGCATTTGTCGGTTAATTCAGATGGATCAATTCTCAGGGATTGTACATCATCTCCGAAGTTCTTAGTCATTAAATTTTTTATAAATTGAATATCTTGATTATTTACATCTATCCTTTCATAAATTATTTCAAAATACTATTAATATTTATAAATAAATAAATAAAATTTTAATGTCAAATTGTTGTTATTATAATCATAAAATATTATATTTATTATTACAAATTGTTGATACAAACTTTATTCATTTTTTCTAAATCATCCTCGACTTTTTTATTATCTTTTCTTCTTTGTACTTTATTAACTATCATCACCTTGAAATGCAGATCCTTCATGCACGTCTCAAACTCATTTGTTAACTTATCATATGTGCTTTTAACACTATTAGCATCCAAAAATTTTCTAACACCTTTAAGTTTTGAAACTTCAACTACAAAATCTTTAATTTTTATCAGCAAATTTTTAAATTTATGAAAAGCTTTGTAACTTTTTTCTTCCCGTAAAAACTCTTCATAATCATCTTTATAATTCAATATCTTGTTCATCGCACTTTCAGCATCTTTAGCTCATTCAAATAATATTAAACAGATATTTTTGTTGCTTTGAGCTTTTTTAAAGGTTTCTTCGATCTCTTTAACAATATTTAACACATAACTAACTATCGGGATATATAATCCTGCGATTTCAGAAAGGGTATGTATCCCAAGTTTCGCTGTGTCAATAGTATCAAATTTTTCGTATGTTCCTTCCTTTGACATAATAAATGTAGCAATGACAGTAATTGGATAATGATATATATTGATAAGTTATTTTACTATATCTAGTTTTTTTTTTTGATGTTAAAATTAAGAACTCTGAAAATAGAATTGTAGATTAACTTTATCTGAATTTATAACTGTAGTAAAAGCTTCTCACAAAATAATAATGAGTATTTCTAGCAAAGAAAACTCTCTTTAAAGATCAAGTATAGTATCCTAGTAACAAATCTCTGAATTAATAAATTTGTTGCAGCAAAGGCCCTCTGTAATAAACTCAACAGCAAGTCTTACATGTAATCAAAGTTGCATATTACTTTATAATATTCAACAACTATTTGAAGTGCTGATAAAAGAATTCGACAATGAATAGTGGCCTTTAGTTACAAATATTTAGGTAAAATTTAGTTATAAAACACTTGTGAATAGAAATTCTTGAAAAATCTTTATATATCGCTTTACCAAACACTTTGAATTAAGTACACGTAAAGAAGATATTCCAATTAAGAAATAGCAAAAGACTATGGTTTGATAAGCAGACTTATACCATGCAAAAATAAAGATATTATAGTTTGTTGCAGAGCAAAAAGTGTGCATTAAATAGTTCTAAAGTTCTTTTGATCACACATATAATTTAGATAAAAATGATAAGCTTAAGTGTCCTCAAGCTGTTAGAGCTTTGGTAGAAAAAGAAGTAGTAAAAAATTAAAGAGTATGTATCTGAAAATCTAGACCTTGGCACATGTATAAAGGAATTAAAGTGGAGAAAGATTGCCAATATAAAGTATAAAGTTCATAGGCCACAAAATATCTATCTTATTGGTGTTTCTGAACTAGTACCAAATATCCAAGATGCAATTTCTTTTTAAAAAAAAGAAGGTTATTATGTTAAATCATATAAAACTAATCACTAATCTATGTCCAGTTTTGTTTTTGCACATCCAAAACAACTTAGAAAACTTTAGCAATATGGTTGGCTAACTCTTATCAACTCCACACATAAAACCAACAAATATGACTAGTACTTATTTATGCTGTATATTCAGAATAGGTATGAGTGATGAAACATCAGCAGGTATTTTCATTAGAAATGAAAATAGTGATAATGTTGCAGAAGTGTTAGTTATAATTAGATGATTTTGTAAAACCTGAAAGCCTTGTTATTTTTTGGCAGACCAAAGCAGTATAAAGGCAAAAAGTTTTGTAACAGTTTTTCTAGGTTTTAAAAAAGGTAAACAGGAATACAATATTATTTTTTGCATCATGCATATTATGCAGACTTGGATGAATAAAATCTATGAATTAGAAACATGGAGTAAGATGATTCAAGCTATGTATAAATGAACAAAAATTGGTTGTGAGATGTATATTCAAAAATCAATTAATGAATGTGTCCTTCCCCATTAAACAATATATCGCAAGATATTATTTAAAAAATACTTACTAATGGGCCCTTTGGGCCCACCAGCACTTACTACTACTTTTGCAAATAACAACTACAATCACTTTAGAATCATTTTATAAGGAGCTAAAAAAAACAATCTTATCTTAATATGGTTTGATTAGTGTATATAATAAGATCATTGCATTTGACTTAAAAAAGTAGTTAGATTTAGATTATGTCGCATTAGAGTTTTGTATTAAAAAAATTTTTGCTATAGGTATTAACAATAATATTCTCAAAGAATTCATAATTTTCATTTTTCAATTCAGAAATTATTAGTTGATAAAATTTTTGCTATTAATAGTAGAATAGAGAAGGGTAAAAAAATTACCTTGTCTAACTTCACTTAAATGACATTGCCTTTTTCAAGCAAGAATTTTAAATAAAGTAAAGAAAATAATATCTGCTATATTAATATTCTATATGACAATGGCATCTATAAAGTTTAAAATAATAACTTCTGCTATGAAAATATTAATAGTCTATGGTAAATGATGCCTAACGAATAACAAAACAATTTCGTCAGATAATATTTGAGTTGACAAAATGATGAATGACGAAACTACTAATGAATGATGAAACTCATGACAAATCATAAATTTATATGTAATATAAGCATTTTGAGTGTAATAAATATAGGAAAATTGTAAATGGAAAAAAATTAGTTAATGTAAGAATTTTGTTTCATTTTCCAGTTTCTGATTTTTTTTGATGCATTTATCCAATATTACCCAATGATTTGCATCAATCACCTGATATGTCCAATAGGCATGCAAAAATTCTGTGCCAGGTTTTGTCAATCATTGTGGCACAGATCCATAAACTACAAATCAGATTTCATGAATCAGGTGTAATGTAACACGATCAGGAAATTTCAAAACAAACGTTCGTTTTGTCAAAAATCGCTTATTTCTCAAAATCTGTATAAAAAACCACCTTTAGTGCTCTAACAAAAAGTTTTTCTTGAGCGATTTTACTATCTAATCTCCTAATCTTTAACCTTGTTCTAAACGTTAATCCTAACATTTTGAGCTTTAAAAATTTTGACTGTATCAAAATGATCAACAAAACCTGGCACAGAATTTTTTCATGCGTCCAATAGACCCTATGAAAACTTGATATACAGAAATGCATGCATAAATACAAAATTGTATGGGGTAAGCACAGGTTTCATAATCACTGCATGGAAACTGCATGGAAACTAATTGTCCATAAAATTTAATACACGTTATCATATAAAAAATTGAAATTCATTCACTATCATGCATAGTATTATACCCATATATTGATGTGCATTAATTTTAATAATCACATAATTTCTGTGCAATCTGCACAATCATTAAGTTTCTTAACGATCATAATTTTCATGCACTAACGTGCACAATCATTAAGGTTCCTAATGATTATAATTTTTGTGCACTAACATGCACAATCGTTAAGATTCTTAACAATCATAATTATAATTTTCATGCTCTGATGTGCATAATCATTAAGATTCTTAATGATTATAATTTCAGTGTACTGTTATCATGATCATCACAACCGTTAAGATTCTTTAATGATCAATTTTAACAATCATAATGTTCATTTCTGTACATGATATCATGATCACTACAATTATTAAGACTCCTTAATAATTATAATTTCAGTGATGATTGTCACAATTGTTAAGATTCTTAACGATCATAATTTTTGTGCATGACATCACAATTGTCACAATCATTAAGATCCTTAACGATCATATTCTATGTACTAACATGATGAAGATCATAATTCTATGCATTAATGTGATGATCATTAAGATTCTTAACAATTATAATTTCTGTGCAATGACACATACAAAAACATTTATTTTGTGAGTAAATAAATATTATATTTTTGTTTTTTTGTTTTTTTTGCACTTAGCAATAATAATTTCTGTGCATTGATGCGCAAAAATTACATTCGATTTGTAAGTAAATAAATATTTGATTATTTGTTTTTTTTTATACTTACAATTTTTATTATTTTCTTTTATTGTTTTAGAATTTTTTTTATAACTCACTAATTTTTATATAATTTTTTTTTAGTTTGTCATTGTTTTTGAAACTATCCTTTGGAGTTATTGCCTTGAAAGTTGCTCTTTTGGAATTATTATCATTTTTGGTGTATGTTTTTTCATCATTTTTGGAGGTAACACAGCTTTGTTTTTTTATTACTATTATTTTTTTCTTTTATTTTTTATTTACTTTCTGTATATTATTGCATTTTAGCATTTCTCTTGAGTTACTATCATTGGAGTTGGCATAATTGGAGTTGTCACTATTGGAATTATTTTTAGAGTAGTCATTTCTGTTTTTTTTTCTATTTGTTACTATTGCTTTACTTTGTTTTTTTCGATATTATTAGTTGCTGGGTTATTTTTAAGTAGTAGTTTTAGTGATTAGAAGTATTTTCTTATTTGGCATAAAAATTATTAAATTGAAGTATTTGTATTATAAAATTTAATTAATAAAATAATAAAAGTTAATTAATAAAATATAAATTTTAGTTAATAAAAATTATAAAATTTAGTTAATAAATTATAAAATTTTAGTAAATAAAATAATATATATAAATGTATATACAGATATATGTTATTATATGTATATGTATAGATATATGCTATTATATGTTACCTGCATGCAGGGACAGTGATTTTCTGTTTCACATAATACCACAAAATTCACATAAATATGCTTATATCACATAATTTGGTGTTTTCACCGCAGAATAGCACATAATGTGGCAATTTATAAGAATTGTCACATAATTTAGACAGTCTACAGATCCGGTATCTCCCGACGTAGAATTTGAATGAACTCAAATTATGAGCAAACAAAATCCGGAAAGTTCCGAAAATTTATGTCACAAAATCACACATAAATTTGGTAAAAACGCCACAGAATCTCACATAATTTGGTCAAGTTACCACAGAATCGCGCATAATTTGGTTTCACATTACATCACATAATTTAAATTTTGTCATCACATAATTTTGGTTTTGTCACCGCAGAAAATCACTGTCCCTGCCTGCACGTAAATATGCACGAGACAATACATGAAAAAACACATAAAATTGCACATTAGTACGTGCACTGTTGCACGGAATCCACGCCCTATTACGTGCTGTAAACGTGCTTTCTCATACATTGTCTCATATAGATTTACATGCAGGTTCGTGTGGTTCCATATCCAACTTTTTCCATATATTGCAGTATCATTCCGTGCTGCAATTTGTTATAGGGAGGCTGATGAAGGAAACTACAGCTTCAGATTCAATTAATGTAAAACTAAAAATCAATTTTTTATAAGCTTGTTAATTTTGTAATGTTAACTTTTTATAAAGAGCTAAAGATTTTAATTGACTAGTAAAAAAAGTTCGTTGTCAATTACTGATTTAATATGAACCGATAAATCTTTATAATGATGAAATAATAGTAATTTTGAAAAGATTTAAGATTTTGAATGTCCAGAGGTCATTATAAAAAAGCTTGCCAACTGAGGGTTAACAGTATTTTTATATTTTATTAGTTAAATT